AGAAAAGGCAGTTCGGAGTTCTGCTTCTGCACCCTTGAAGTTGGTCCCGCAGTCAGACAGGATTTCATATGGTTTACCCCTTAGGGAGGTGAAACGGCGAAAGGCCATCAGGAATGCATCTGTGTCTAAGCTCTCCAGCAAATTCAAGTGTATGGCACATGTGGGCATGCACTTGAAGATGACTCCCCATCTCTTCTCTGTGCGTCGACCAATCTTATCTGTCATTGGCCCAAAGCAATCAACGCCCATTGAGAAGGCTGGCTTGAAGAGACGGAGACTGAAAGGGGGCAGGTCTGCCATCTTGGGAACTGATGGTTTACCACGCCACTTGCAGCAATCGTTGCACTGGCGCTGGTGCTGACGAATTGCCTCTCGGCCTCGCATTCAGCTCCAGGATGAAGGAGTCGCTGATCATAGTCTTGGATAAGAAGCTTGGTGATATGATGCTTCAGGTCAAGAATGATTGGGTGCTTAACTTCGTGCGGGAGGTCCTCTGCCTGTCGCAATCGGCCTCCCACTCTGATCAGTCCAGAGGTTTCATCATGCTTAGAGCTGAGCTGTGCTAATCTGCTCCCAGAAGGCAACTGCTTGTTCTGCATCAGAGCATGGACTTCCTGTGGGAAGCAGTCTACTTGTACCTGAAACAAAAGTTTGGTCTCGATGGCTTCTTCCCTCTTGACCAGTGTTGAAGGAGATATGTCAGCAGTTGCCGCTGCGTCATGAAGCTCCTTGAAAGCCCGGATGAGTCCATTCCAACTGCGGTACTATTCTGGGTTTGGCAACTGGAGCTCTTTCAGGTGATCGCTCTACAGAACGTTGCTCCCTTCAGTTCTACGGTGTCTTCCGGTTCGTCGACCAAGGGGTTTGCCGGCCAGCAATGAGGAAGTAAGGACAGAAAAGATGGGCCATTTCTCCATCTTTGTTCATTAGAGAGTTCAGACACGGTCTTACCCCGAGTGATGTCATCAGCAGGGTTGTTGGCTGTGTCAACATAACGCCAATTCTCTGGATTGCTCAGGGACTGTATCTCTGCTGCTCGTGTCCCAACAAACACCTTGTATCTGCAGGAGTCGGACTTCAGCCAGCGTAGTACTGTAGTAGAATCACTCCACAGGGTAATCTTCTGGATGGAAAGGGTCAACTCCTTTCTGAGCAAATCTGCGAACTGTGCACCGACCAGTGCAGCATAAAGTTCCAACCATGGGATGGAAAGTTGCCGCCTGGGAGCTACCCTGGAACATGAGAGGATGAAACTAGTATGGGTGCTTCCTTTTTGACCTTCAGTGTGCAGGTAGGCGACCGAGCCATAGACTCTTTCTGAGGCATCACTGAAGATGTGGACTTCTCAGTTGGTCGTCTCGGTATCAACTTGGTGACATGCTAAAGGTCAAATCCGTCAGATCTGGCAGCAGCTGGCAGATCTGCCACCATTGAGGGGATATTGCTTGCCCATTGGCGAATGTTGAAGCCACCTGTTGCAAGCAGTGTGCGTATCTTCATGACCAGTTCTTTAGCTGCTTTGGCAGACTGTCCAGGCAGTTGTCTACGTAAAAGGATTGTTGGACAGCACGTGCGACCTCTTTGTTGCCCTTCTGGTGGTAGAGTACATGCCTTTGCAGGGCAAATGAAGCGCAGCAGGGGCTACAGGTTGTGCCGAACGGAAGAACCCGCCACTCATAGACATCAGGCTTAGATGCTCTGTCCATGTTCCGCCACATGAATCTCAAGAGGGGCTTGTCAGCTTGTAGGAGACGTATCTGGTAGAACAATGCTTGGATATCCCCGGATATTGTCAAGGGGTGCTGCCTAAATCTGAGGAGGACTCCAAGGAAGGATACTCCATACTTGGGTCTGGGTAGGAGATGGATGTTCAGCACCTGTCCATCATGTTCGAATGAGCAGTTGAACACCAAACGTGGCTTACCGCTGGTTTCAACAATGCGATGTGGAAAGTACCACGACTCCTCAGTCTGCTGGGCTTCTGCATCACTAAGGATTCTCATGTAGCCTGCATCAAGTAGCTTCTGGATTTGCTCTTTATGGATCCTAGCAAGGTCAGGCTGTTTTTGGAGTTGTCTCTCTGTATGCTTCAGGTTTGGGAAACCTGCTTCTTTGCCAGCATGGAAGTGGGTTCCATCATTCCTGCGCATAAGGGGTGTGGCATAGCGCAGAACTCATCCTTCTTCAATGCGAACTGTTTTTGCTTCAAGCAGTTTCACAGCATACTGGTCCTGCTTGGAACGGGTTACAATCTTCTCACTAGTGTAAGGGATCACATT